ATAAGCAGCATTAACACAGGCCAGGAGTGACATTAGGTGGACATAGATGGTGGTTTTATAGTTTCACAGTTGGTTGGGTAAGAAGGGACCTGAGCAGATCATCTAGTCCGACCCCCTGCCATGGCAGGAAAGAGTACTGGGGTCAAATGACCCCAACAAGGTGCTCATGCAGCCTCCTCTGAAAGACGCCAGGGTAGGAGCCAGCACCACTTTGCTTGGAAGTTGGTTCCAGATCCTAGCTGCCCTGACCATGAGGTAGCGCCTCCTGATATCTAGTCTGAATCCACCCTCTGCCAGCTTGCGACCGTTATTCCTGGTCACTCCTGGTCGTGCTTGGGGGAACAGGGACTCCCCCAATGCCTGCTGGTCCCCTCTGACTAGTTTGTAACAGGCCACCAGGTCCCCCCTCAGCCTTCTCTTATGGAGGCTGAACAAGTTCAGGTCCCGTCGCCTCTCCTCATAGGGCCTGCCCTGCTGCCCCTGATCGTGCCAGTGGCCCTTCTCTGGACCCTCTCCGTGTTGTCCACATCCCTCCTGAAGTGCGGTGCCCAGAACTGGACGCAGGGGTAGCAGTGGACACAGTCTTTCTGGACTTTAGGAAGGCCTTTGACACTGTATGATATAAGCAGCATTTAACTCAGGTCAGGAGTGACAGTAGGCGTGCGTGCAATAACCCGAGTTAAATGCTGCTTATATTATAGTATCATATGCCTAAGAAGTTGTTAAAACAAATTTGTGAAAGGATAAATATTAAGTGTGCTCTAAAAAATGAGCAAAGGATGTGTTAGCCAGTGGATGATGGGTTTTTTCTCGGCACACATGCACACACGCACACAGCACTTGGCTGATTTTTAGACACCTAACCACCTGCAACTTCACTTGGCCCAAGGTGGGGAGAAAAGCCACAACTGGCCATAAGTACAACCCCCTGAACTGAGGTAAATCTACACTAACCCAGGTAATTTTACTTTGTTTCCAATCCAGGGCAGTTTTTTCCTGGGGCATCTTTGTTTGTATTCAGGTGCACTAACACAGTAACCAGCTGGACTTTTGCTGGACAGTTCCCTGTCCAAGTGCAGCTCATTCCTATTGCCATGGCCTGAGCATGGCAACGTCAGGAAGAACCAGGCAATGGCACTCAGGTTAAACACATGTCAAACAAATAGACTGAAACATATTTCCTCACTTCTGTTAAAAAGGCTTGAAACAAAATGACTGCAAAAACAAAAAACCAATGTTAGAACAGGCCCACAGTAAAACAGCCCAGGTTACCAAGGAGAAATTAAATGTTATTTTCACTCATACCTGACATATTCCTTAGTTCTCCTCATGATATGTAAAGTCAGGGGATTAATGCCTGTGGGCAACTTTTCTTCTGCCAAGCTCAAAGGTATTTCTTCACCTGTATCAAGGTTCTTTATCATTACACTGGCTAGAATTTCCTGCAGTGATAACAATATAGAATGCCTGATATTAGCAAGGCTTCCAAGAAGTTCAAGACCTAGATTTAAAATAAATGTTCTTAAGCATAAACAACTGATTTGTAATGCAAAACATTACTGTGTGAACTTGTTTTACTCAGTCTACACGATGCAATGTTTTGAACTACTACATCACAGGAGCAATGTTTTTAAACACAGCCTTGAGTTGAAAAGAAACTTACCTTCTTAAGACGCTTATGAAAATATTACACTTAGTGTGAGCAGAATTACACTTTTATATATGCAAAACAGAAGTTTAAACATAACTGCAGAGCAGAGAATTTGTCTGCAGCTTTACAACATTCTAACAAATTCGACTACTTTCGAATTCTCTAATCAATATTTGGAAACCAATGCTGTCCTAATTAGCATTGCTATACAATTGAAAACTTGCTGCTTGTGTACAGGCACCCAGTTGTACCAAGTTAAGGTACTGTAATATGGTAAAAGAAACAAAGAGGAGGAGGAGGAAATACACTGAAAATTAAGAATGCCATCCTGACAGCAAGACAGCTTTTGACTTATGGGTGAAGAGGAATTTGATAATGACTGAATGCCAACAATACACACAAAAAACCCTGAAGTTATAAGTAACTATAGTAACTCCTAGGATAAACGCAACCAAACACTCCTGAATTCCACTTCACTACCCCTAGAGGCCTTCAAACCTGGCCATGAGTGACAAGATAAGCACACAGGTAAATGTGACTTCTCATGTTTCACCACAGTATATCATAGCTCAACAATGTACAAAGACTGATGAATCTTCGCTCTCACAATCCATCTTGTGCTTGATTTTTTTCCGGTTTGAGGAAGTGTTATGCTCCAAAGTCCCATTCATACCTCGTCCGTAAGTTCTCTTCCCGAATTAGATCTGGGTCGCTGTGGTCCAAGCACTTCATTTGTAATTGTTTCTCCATCGCCTGCTTTCCCATTTTCCTGTAGTTTTATATATATAAAACACATTAATTTCATTGTAATTCCAATGTTGGAAAGTAACAATGACCTTATCAACGAGATTTCTAGAAAACAATTGTACCCATTTTCCAATACAAGTAGATACATTTATAAATAAAAAGTTTTGAGTATTCTGAAATCAAAGAACTCTGAATGCCAAAACAGACAGACAACTTAACACAATATTTAAAATCTACTCTGCTGCTTTTCATAAATGCTGAGCACCTGTGGGTGCGCAACACTTCTGGATCTCATGATCCCTCTTGTCATTTCCCACATATTCTAAATAGCTTTCCTCTGTGTGTGCACAGTTAGTTACCTCTGAGCTGGAATAAGTGAGTTTCTTTCCAGTTCTCATTTTCTATGGAAATTACGTACCAAACTAATTCACAAGACTACAGTGGATTTAATACCAGGGAGGAACCTGGCCACAATTTGGATGCCAAGGGACTTCTTAAAATCCACCATAGAATCAGATGAAAAAAGGTGGACTGAGAGACTGAAAGTAATAATATTCAGATGAGAGAAGCACTCAGAGACTGATAAATTATTTCTTTTGTATTGGGCCATCCTGAGAGAACTAGATCAGATGCAGGTGGGTGGATTCGAGAGGCTGGAGAGGAAAGAATTGAAAGCATTTAAGTTTGCTGTTGTCTGTAGTCAACTCTAGGAGACCAGATCCTTGTGAAATGCTCTCTCTCCTATCGGTGATATCACCTTAATTATGAACTTTCCTGCATTAGGTTTTGAATGCACCACATATGCATACAAACACACATAGTTTTCCAGAATTTACCGTATGGAAGTGACCGTTTAAATGACCTAGCGCCATAGAAAACTTAAAATTCTTTAATAAACAGTCTTAAAAAAGACTTAGTTTGCAAGTGCTTTGAGGCAGAGGCCATTTTTTTTTATTGCGAGTGCACAGTGCTTGGCACAATGGAGTCCTGATACATTAACAGGTTCTTCAGCTGATACAAAAATACAGATTAATAATAGTTCATTTACCTGTGCAGTAACTATTTTATCTCCACTAGTTGCACTTGCCAGATCCAAAGAAGGCTGGGAATCTTTGGTCATGCACTCTGCCCCTGTACTTGGAGCTAACAGACCACCAGTTGTAAAATTCTCTCTAGAAACTGCAAAGAGACTTCTTGTTAAGAAGTAGTACGTGTTGCTAGGAAAATAATCATAAAAAGGTGCAGTGCACTTGATCCTACTCCCCCCAAACTGGCCATTTAATCAAAGTTATATTAGTTAATAAAATATATTCTGCAGAGTGACAGAAACGTCAAAGGCTGCTGATAATCCAAATTGCCAATTTTATATTTCATGAACATTTCCCCCATGCACAAAACTGGGAGAGGTCGGGGGAAGGAATATGCCCAAAGTGAAGTTTCTCGGTCCCAGCAACACTCATTTTTGTTAACTTGTGTAGGCTGGAGATATAGACTGGGCATCGTTCTGCTGGGATCTGCAGGCCAGGTTGCTTCATCCACTTGGTAATGCACGGACACAGTTCATTGCTCTGTACTTTGCACAAGAATTGCTAGCACTTATTTGACTATGCTTTGATGGAACAATAAAACAAGGCTTTTTAATACAATGGGCAAAAAAATATTTACTATGTGGGGGCTAATTTCAGCATGACTACAGTCTGAAGGGAAAGTGTTCAGACATGATTTGACCAAAATGTTACTCTCAACAATAGGGTGACCCTTGTCTTCTTTGTGGCTTTTAAACATTTTTTTGGACATGCTCACCTGCAACAGTGCTGTATTTAGGCCACAATTTAGTCCTGTGTTTTCTTACTGCATTTCAAGCTACTTCTCCAGAACACTCTCTCACATATGTTCTTATATGATGCCACGTCAAGACCGTACCAATTCTCATTCACAAAACATTTCCCAAAATGTAAGAACAACCAACACTTCCCAGCAGGCAGAAGTAAGTTGATTACAAAGCTGTTCTTTTTAGCTCCCTGATTCTAACTTTCTTAGGTAAACTCCCCGGTGGGTTAACTTAAAAGAAAAATCATATCACTTCCCCAACACAATAAAAAAAATGCTAATACAATAAAATTCTGCTGCCCAGTGGTTCCACATTATATAAAGGCCCCATCTGTGCGTGCAGAAGAATTTGAGAACTCGCCAGTGTGCAACAGCCACCTCTGGAGAAATACCTGTGGTCATAATTATGTTGTGCACTGCTCCTGGCAGTCCTAAGCAATATGGGCAGAAAGGATCTTCTGTATTCCACCTCCAGCTTGCTGCCTTTCTGGTTCCCTTTACATCTCTAGCACCAACAGATGTGATGACCCATTTTGGTTCTCCGCTAACTGCCACCACACTCATTCATTACCACCCCAGAGTCTCTTTACAAACCCTGCCAGATGCAGGACACTCCTATGCCCCATTCTGAAGGATACGCTATGGCTACCCACACACGGTCTAGGTGCCTTTCAGTTCCAGCTGTGACCAGCACCACTTTATCCCAGTAAGCCAAATTAACTTGGACAAGTTGGAAGCTAAGATCTTACAAAAAGACAGGTCTCCACAGTGGACTAATCAAGCAAAACATCTGTCACTGAAGGATTGAGTTTCTAGCCTTTGCTATGTTTAATTCTCTTATTCTAGAAGGAAAAAAATAAAGCCTTGTATGTTACAGAAATTTCTGCAAGCTCTCTTACAAACCTACGTTTATAAACACTGTGCTTGTTAAAAGTATTTTTACTTGGCAAACTTGGACACACCAATTTGAACCTAAGAAAAATTTATTACAAGGCTACATCTCTGAAAACAAAGATTTATGGTACAAGCTTTCAAAGGTCTTCTAAAATTTTGAACAGCAGTAGAAAAAAGAAATAATCAGTAGCTATAATTATACAGTTACCGCATTAAAGCCTCAGCATCTCCTCTTCGGCAGAGGAGCTTAAAGAAAAACATATACAGAAACTGAACTATACATTTTGACTTGTGACATGCTGATTCTTACGCAGTTTCCCCGTTTACTGGAGTGAAGGTTAGCTTTCCTCTGAAAAAAACTGCTTCACCAGCTAGGTACCCTGCTTAAACATCAAACTTACAGAAAACAGTTACTGGAACTGATGGAAGATGAAAGCGCGTGACTGATACCACCACCTTTAAAACATATGTCCCCCACAGTGCATGCTTTATGAATACGGTAGCATAAGCCAGAACTATAAATATGAGGGACCCTAAAAACAGATCTGGCGAAAAGAAAGGATACATAAGATCAAGGAAGATGCTTCTTGTTCTACTTAACGCTTATTTTTGAAAGACATTTCTGATGCAGTATAACTCCAAAGGCTTGTTTATGCAGTTTTTGTGAACTGGATACAATTTTAGATTGACCGTTCTTACTGCTGAGTAATTCCAATTGCAGCAGAACACTATTGTTACCTAGCATAATCTGGTATAACAGATGCACAGCTGCAGTCAAGGTTAGTAAGCATATCCTGTAGGTACAAAACTCGGGTAAATATTGAAGTCATAAGTATGTTAGATATTTTAAAAAATCTATTATAAATACATACCCAAATACTGAATATTTAGTCAATTAAAAATACTTTTGAGTCAACGCCATTTTGTAGCTTTATAATCCCTTTAAAAAAGGGCAAAACAAAATCCTTTTAGCCTCCTGTTGCTGCATAAGAGATCATCACAGGAACAGCCAAACACAGAAAATAGTAACACTGATCACAATGCTACAAATGTGCAAAGTGAAATTACAAGACTGAAAATATTCTTTCCTCCACTTTCTACCATGTAACAAGCACGAAGGTGAAATTCTGTAAGAAGCATGGAACAGGATTTTTATTTTAACACCTATATGAGTTAACAAGGACCAGTTCTACTGATGATTTAAATGGGACTTGTGTTCCTAAATTATCAGTACTTTTAAAATCCCACTGTGATTGTTCAGTTGAGTGCATCTAAAGACGCACAGAGAAGTCAACAAGTTTAACAACCGATGGCTTTAGCAAAAAGCAGAAAAAGGATAACTGCACCGATAAGAGGCTGCTGGATTAAACTAGAGAGCACCTTAACGTGACTACTTACCATCTAATCCAGATGATTTTTGCACCTCAAAGTCCAGTTCACTCTTTTTCTTCCGTGGGGGTGGAGCAGGCCGTGCTGGTGGCGGTGGTCTTGGAGGAGGAACGCTTGCTGGTGGTGGGGGCCGTGCTGGAACTGGTTTCTTCGTGCTAGCAACTATGTCAGGTTCTACAGTAAGCTGCCTGCGGGGTTTGGCTGGAGGCAATTCTTCTGTTGTAGCAAGATCTTTGGTAGGTAAGCATTCTGAAGCCACCTGTTCTAAAATATCTGTCTGTTTTACTTCAGTTATGTCCTCATTTTTAGATAGTTCTTCTGTTGTTTCTGTTTCAGCATTTTTAAGTTCTTCAGCTGAGTTTATTATTTCTGCTAGTTTATTAGTGGTTTTACCTTCTTGTTGCTCAAAGGGATGATCAGAAGAAAACAAAAGTTTCCCGGATTCTAGTTCAGTTTCCTTACACTCGCTCTGATTCACAGGCTCTTGAGTATCTTCTTGTAATGCATTTTTTGCAGCTAATAGTTCTGGTATATTACTAAGGATATCTGCTCCAGAAATCCAAGTGCTCGTATCTGAAGTTTGATTTAGTTCTTTTCCTTTGGAAACCAAATGATCATCATCTAGCTGTTGTACCTTTTGGCTTTCTTCTATAATACTGTCAATAATCTAAAACCAAAGAAATTAAAAAAATTTATACTTGTGTGTCACATAAGCATGCAGAAAGCACTACTTGCCTTCTAATGCATGAATAAATGGAGTGGCATAGGAAAAAAGCTTAGGTTTGCTGGAAAAAAACTGCATTCCTTTATGATGAGAACAGACACATACAAAAAGAATTATTATTTCCAGTGCTGTTGAAACAAGACTATTGAGCTAAGAGATAAGCCCCAAAATAAATCCACTTGAATGGTAATAGAAGCAATTTTTTCAGCTCAGTTATATTTCCTTGCTTTTTAGCATGGCTTGAAAGTAAATATTTTAGTTCCATTTGACATTTTTTTTTGTATTGTAAAGAGACAAGACTGGTTTAAAGAGGAAAAAAATGTTTATCTTTCTGAGTATTTTACAATGTTGTAAATTAACCGGGTGTTTTAGCAGCCATGAATTTTGAATCTTTTGCTTAAATGTGGGTGAATCTACAAGTGCACTTTAATGCACATTAGCTTATTTTAATGCAAATTAAAGCGTCTCAAAAAAACCAGCCCGGCCTCTGGCTTCTTTACTTTTCATTCCATCCAGGAAGAGCACGCACCAACTGCAGAAACTTCCTCAGCCTGACTAAGGGTTTTTAAACCCGAAAGCTTGCTTAAAATTTTTTTTCCAACTATTTAAATTGGTCTAACAAAAGATATCAGATTCACCCAAAGAACCGTGTCTGCCTATGTCCTTAGACCAACATGGCTACAACCTACACCCCGTAACAAAAACAACCTGTAAACTTTTGTTAATGCACATTAATATAGGCTAATGAGATTCTTTCTAGTGCCTCACAATGGAGGTACTAAACTTAATGTGTGCTAGCAAAAGTGCATTAACGAATGTGTAAACATGCCCTGTGTCTCTTTTGTTAACAAGAAATAAATTTCTAAAAAACTGTGTGTTTATTTTCTAACCAACATTGCTTAATTTTTCAATATATTGGCTAGAAACATTAACTTTTGATTTTAAGAATGTCAATAAGCTAGAAAATTAAAGTTTAGATATTACACATATCTCTATAAAGATATTTAAACTAACCTCTTTAGAGTCATCTTGTTTCACTTCTTGTATTAAGACATCATTTTCGACTTTGTGTATATTGCTGTCTGTATCCTGTAAAATATGGGAATGTAATAAGAAATTTGTCACCAGGAAAGATAATTTAGGAACAGTACAATATAGCACAGGATCAAATATGTTAGAGGGCAAACAATTTTGTGACCTTTCTTCTAGCTGCATGCTGAGAGCCTGTAGTACTTCATAAATGGCATTGGAAAGAATATTTTATACTGGCATCAGTCATGGAAACAAATATACACTACTCTGAACAATAAAAAGCAGTAGTTCAATTTCAGTGGATTTCTGTTCTGCTCCTGTTCTTATAGGGGAGAACTGCAGCAGATCTCTCCACACTGCAAGGGAACTTTCTACCATCTACTTGATTCTACACAGAAATCAGAACCTTGGGTACCTGAAATGGGACTTAGGAGATAAAATTCTGCTCGCTGAGTCCAAAAAAAGGATTCCAGAAAGACCCTGAGAAACCCATTAGGCACAAATTCCTTCAGTCTATACATTTGGACCCAGAAAGGTTATGCATCTAAACCTAGGCTTCCATATACAAGTAGAAGCACCTCAGACTATACAGCTAACTGCCTGGTTCCAGCCTAAGCTAGATCACTATCCAGAAACAAGACAGAGTAGTGCCTAACTTCCACCCAAGACCCTGTCAGGGCCTGATCTGGTGGGTATGGTCACATCACACCTAACAAGCCTTAACAGTAGCCAAAATTCCTTCTTTCCCCAAAAGCATGGCTGTGCCCACCTTATTATATAATGAATTAGTGGGTAGAGCTATCACCAGAAAGCAGGAGACTGCGGAGTTCTAGGCTCCCCACTTTCTTAAAGGGCTCAAGGCAGCCTTCCTACTTCCCAAGAGAGACCTAAACCATCAAAGCTCCAATTGTCTCTATAATAGCAACTTATTTACCCTGTGCAGTCTGCACATGGCATAAATCTCAGCAATGAACTGCCCGTAATCCCTACAACAGCAGTGCAAACTGACAGAGTGGAGTTTCATATTAAGTGTATTAAATGCACGACCAAACTTAGTGCTTTTAGTTTGATCAACACTAGAAAGTTTCAGTTGGCAACTTTACTCTACTCCAGTACAAGCTATTAGATGTCTTAAAGCTTGAGAATATTCCCTCCATACAAACAAATTTCAAAAGCAATCCATCCAATTGTGAAGACTGAATCATCATCCATATGCCAGCATAACGCAGCAAATCTCTGGAACACAATTCTAAAATATCAATCGTTTTAGTTAGGTCAAGCAACTACAGTTAATTCTAGTTCTAGGTATTATCCAAACTTAACTGGCAGCCCTGCACTTTTACTATAACAAAAACAAAATCACATCAAAAGGAACTGTTTTTTCTTAATGGAGACTGAAATATTTAACATGAGGCTGAAGTGTTCAGCAGTGATAAAAGCAAAGAGTTACACTGGAAATCAGAAATAATTTCAACCTGGAGAAGCGTTTAATACACATGAGTTATTGCAATTTACTTAAGTGCTTAACTTCATCAGCACTTTGCAGTTCTGACTTGACTCAACAGGAAAAGGCAGTTCTTGTTTAAGCCAGGGAGATTTTGATTTGATCGGAGGTGAAAAGTTCTCTCTACCTCCCCTCCTGCTCGTACCTCTTACTGCATTTCTGAAGACCTTCCAGGTGATACACATACACTTCATATTTTAGAGCACCTGAAGAGTTACTGTTTACCAAGTGAGGCCCAGGCCCTCTACTCTGCCAACCTGCACTTGTCTCGCTAAGATTTCAAAGGGTGACTTTTCTAGTATGACTGCACAAGCAGTTTTATTTTTTCTATGCTAATTAGCGTATTAAGCCATACCAACACTGGGAAGCAATTAGTATGAGACCAAATTCATTTTATGCCAATACAAAAAGAAATTTAGTCTATAATAAAATCATAGACCAGGCACAATTAAAACTAGACATCAACATTTTTGTGGCCTAATGATGAACGGAGGGACTGCAGCACAATGCACAACTGTAAATGGGAAGGAGAGGGAGGGGTTAACAAGGTAAGTTTCCAAAAAGTGGGAGCCTATATTGCAGGAACCTGAATACACAATAAGATATCCAAATTAGCTTTCCTAATTTTCAGGAAAGCCCAGCTTCCAGCAGAGCCCACAGAAGCCAGAGGGATTCCAATTTACTTTTGACAGCTTATCTTGAGGCACTCATTTTTGCAAATCTCAGTCCAGGAATCTGTACTAACACACACTGCAGCAACACCAGTGTTGTTTAGGCACCTTTGTGAACTAAACCTCCATTAACAAACAAATTACTCATTTTAAGCCCAGGTGTTCTTCAAAGGTGTACTGACAAAGTGACAAAATAGTACACACTGATAAAAATTCACAGCGATAACCACTATAGCAACAAGCCCTCCCTCCCTTTTTTTAAATTTTCACTTGTTGACCTTAACACACCCGTTAGACTTTGAACTTGTGAAAGTGCTCAGACTCCTTCAAGGAACACTCTACTGTTAGTCACAAGTTTAATGAACTGATATGGTACCAAGCAGAGAAGAAAACAGAACTGTGTTTTCCAAAGCGGATTTTTGAAGGTGAAGAGATTTAGAAAAGTACCCCATAATGAAAATTTGTAAAACTGAGAACCTTATTAGCAATTAAGTAACAGCATCTAGAGAATATATACAATAAAAAGACTAGATTACAACTAAAATTTCTCAGTTGAGTCAAGGCTACATAAATCCAACTCAATCTATTTCAACATGTGCTAATTTTAGTCAGGGTAAACATGGAACTACATTTACCCAAATACAAGACAACTTTGAATTTAATGCGACCCTCCAATAATTAGATTCTATCTACAGAAAAATTCATAAACTTATTTTAATTTCATAGATTTCATAGACATTAGGGCTGGAAGGGACCTTGGAAGATCATCGAGTCTAGCCCGCCGCCCAAAGGGCAGGAAGTCAGCTGGGGTCACAGGATCCCAGCAAGATAAGCATCCCATTTGCTCTTGAAGGTGTTCGATGTAGGTGCTTGAACCACCTCCGATGGCAGGCTGTTCCAGACCTTGGGGGCTCAGAAAGTAAAGAAA